TTCTGCTGGCTCTTTAGATGGAAATGAACTTCACTTTGTGTGCTTGAAGCCTGTGAGGAAGTGTGTTTTCCTTCAGAGCAATGGCTGCCAGCAGACCACTTCTGTCTTTGCAGTTCTCAGAGAAGTTAGAAATAAAGGTCATGAGAACAAATAGCCTCGTGTTTGCTTATAAAGCATTGATCATTTAATGATGCTATTTTAGCAGACTCTTGTTTGTATATACTATAAGAATTTCTATCATGTATCAAACTGGTCCGTTTAGCCTCATCTCCAATTTGCAGCCATGGCCAACACAAAATGCTAGGCAGTTCTGCAACGGTATGCCTAGGGGAGAAATCTCTTTGTCCCTTGAGGCAAACAGTGATTGCTTTTGGCAAGAAGAAAGACAGTAAATATATATTCTGAACTATTATGTGAGCTAGTATAGCTGCAGATATTGCTTGTTCTTGAATCATACTAGATTCTTGGCTTCAATAATATCTTGCATTGTGGGTTCATTTTCTTTAAGGCCTTTTGATTAACTGTTATGTTGTTTCTGGCCCTGGGACCTTCACCGTTGCTGATGGGAAATAGCGAACAGATCCGTTTACTGACTTCTGTCTGTTTTCCAAAATACAGCAGCGTCTCCTTCAAAGGATTCCTTGGACCAAGAGGGGAAGTGTCTGAAGCGGGGATGGAGAAAGTAGAACAAGGTCCTGCCTGCCCCTCCCGTGCCGGTAGATGAGATCAAAAAAAATGCTGTCACTGCTGGCCACATCTAACGGAGGCGGTCACAGGTCGGCACCCTTCCAGCGCGGGAGGCTCGTGGCTCTGCCGAAGCCCTGTGGCTGCCTGTCCTCACCCGGAGTTTATGGCAATAAAGCCCTAAATTTTAAGGTAGAAACCCCCGATCTCTGTTTTTAGCCTCCTAGCAGGTAGGAGGCCGGGAACAGGAAGGCAGACTCGTCCCTGGCCCTGGGGCCTCCTCCGTCCGGGTCAGCGTTAAGCAGAAGCGCTGGCGTCGGTGACAGTCAGTGGTCTGAGGCTTTTTAAGCTGCCTTTTGCGTCGGTCTCTGCGGATCTGCGTCGTCCTCCTCCGTCCTCCAGGCTTTGTAACGCCCGGCCTGGGACTGCAGGGGAAAGCCGTGGCGCGGGCCAAGGCGCGGAGCGCGGCTCGGCCCCTCCGGCCGGCTCGGCCCC